GTACATTTGTTAACAAGACACGCTCAGTTCAGAATTATATCCAGTTTGAACAGCGTATCTCCATTGCCCTGCCCAACAGACGCTGGTTGCGATGTGAGAACAGTTGGAGTGGCCTCTGTCAGCGGCGTCCATGTAAACAATTGCTCCATCCCATTGCATCCCGGTATGGAAATTGCAGAGCGTCAGAGTTCTATCTGAGACACGTCAGTGGTTCAAGCAGTAATGCCGAGGAGGTCTTGCGTAATGGAGATCAGGTATACCTAATGGTGAGACAATCCGTATTGACAGCAGGCCAGCAGCCCTTTCCGCTTCAATGCCGTCGTTCCAGGCTCGGTGACTTTGCATGCAAACCCGTGGAACATGGACCGGGTACTGCGCTGACTTTTCATGCCCTGAAGGCCACCAGTAGCCGTGAGTTGATCAGCGAGGAAAGTGAAATTGCCCTTTGCTTCAACTTGGACAATCATTACTGGTGCTTCTACTGCCCTAAATTTGACATTTCGTTGACCCACAACTGTGAACCACGAATATGTGACAATGGGCCCAACAACTGTATCATCAACGACCCCGACGCCCCAGTTCTCATTCCCATGACAATCCGTCAGTGGCGCAACCACGAACATCCCAACGCCGTGCAGTACAAGCGTACCATATCACTGCGGCGTGGACACGGACGTGGGTTGGGCGTTCATCGCTATTTCCACTGCTCGAACTCTAGCTGCAGTACCGAGCTAACGCCTCAATGTCTGAGAGGACAGACGAGCAGTACTCCTCCCGTTGCTGGCCAAACATACTCCTCACAGATCTGCGACGAGGGCGTTTTCCAATTTATGCCAGAGAATGATGTGATGCCAGATGATGGTCTTCTCCGGTACGAAGACACAGTCAGCCTAGCCACAGCTCGAGGTCAGCGAAAGAGTCTTTTGTGTCCCAGTGTCAACGCATCGTGCTATTTCGGATCATGCCCAGGTAATACCAAGCAATGTGCTGCATCAACATTCATTGTACGCCAATCAGCCGGCTTTCACCTCACCACTGATGATGGCAAGCCAGTTCCCTCTGATGGCCGTGTAGCTCTGTGCAGAGAGGCCAGCGCTCAGCCACTACAGTATGATTTATGTCTGTCCTGCGGACGCGATAGCTCCTCCAGTGCTGAACGACTTCCTTGTAAACTTGTCAGTGGAAGGAAGCAAGACAGAAATGCCTTTCATGCCTCGAATTTCTTCGTCTCGCAGTGGCGGCTTCTATTATCGTGAACACTGAAAACCGTTGTATATTCCTGTATGTATGTATAATATGTAATGCACCGATTCTTTGCAGGATAGTAGACTTATGTTATGCGGAACTAACACTTATTCCGTGTAATTATCATGTTGCATTCTGGTGGGAGCTTTTCCTTTTGGATGCCTAAGGTAGTGTATAAATGTAACCCAAGACGTATGAGCAGTAACGGGTAGAGAGAACCCGTAATCTCCCTCTCACTGGACACTCTTACACTTTTGATGTAGATGTATTACATGATGAGCTCTGTTCTGCAATCGTCTGATATTATATTCTTCACACCCGAGTTGCTGTGTCTTGCGGCTCTTGCCTATGCTTCAGAATAGGCTGAGGATTGAATCAAGAGTTCATAACCCCCAAGAGTGTGCACCTCCTGATCAGTCCCTGTATGGAAGCCCGCTCGGAGGAATTCCTTCATTGTGTCATTTTCGGTGCAGTGCGATAAGTCACGCCGATGAATTCTTCTAAAATTTACAGTCAAACCAGGATGCTTCCCCAGGGTAAACTGCCTAAACTGCGATTCTAGTCTGAGCCTCAAGAAGCAAAAGTAAAACAAAGCACTCGATCCTAAAGACAAAACTATTATATTATTTTTTCGATGCAATGGTGACTCTTCATCGCCTTCTTCTTTCACCAGTGCAGTCAGTCTCTTCAAGAACAATTTCTTCCCAAGGCCATCGGCATATTTCCGGTGCTTTCCTCGAAGATGATTTCAAATGGTTGAGGAACTTGAGAGAATAAGTCGAAGGAGCATTTTTCGGCTGAGTTGCACAGCTATCAGAATGATTGTCCTCGACGGCAATGCAATGTTTTTAACAGCATCCTCACTTCTTCCTGTCACGATATCGCGATTATTATTATTATCTTCACTAGTTTGAGGGAAAGAGACAAACGGGAAAAGTCTGAAGAAAAAATTAACTGTCACCACCAGGACTCGAACCAGGGACCCTCGCTTGTAGCTAGCGATGCTCTAACCACTGAGCTATCGTGTAGTCGTCATCCCAGCAGAGACTGTTCAACATTTTCTTCAGACTTCGTAACTCACACTTCCTGTGAATCCACACAGGCGGGTGGGACGCAGCCCTCATTGTACCCACACACTTTATTATTATCATTATTATTATTATAATAATCGCGATATCCATGAATTCTTGGACAAAGAGTTCGTTTTTGAGAAAGTACGACTTGTACGTCCGAAATGTCTTCAAAAAAAGCTTCGAAAAGTCGAGGCTACAGCCTTGAGTTAGGAGCGGTTCAGGGTATAGTTTCCAGAAATCGCGAAGAAGCCAAATTTACCTCGGATGACAAGCTGCGCATGACGTAATGTAGGAATTTCGCCGAGCGCTGGGTCTATGCCCGTTGCACACTCTTGGGGGTTTTTTTTTTTTTTTTTTTTTACTACAAAGCACTGGCCAGCAACATAAAAGGGGAGGTAGACAAAAGTGGAAAAGCGAACTTTGACAACACAGAGGAGCGTGGCATGCGTGCCGATGAGGTAGGTCAACCTCCCCCGACCTAGTGGTCTCGGGTTCAACAGTTGGTCTACGCATCAGGAAGGGGAAATGGACAGAGAAAGGGAGAATGAGCATGAGGAGCTTCCCAGGAGAGGAAGAGTGAGAGAGAGAGAGAGAGAGAGAGAGAGAGAGAGAGAGAGAGAGAGAGAGAGAGAGAGAGAGAGAGAGAGAGAGAGAGAGAGAGAGAGAGAGATAGATAGAGAGAGAGAGAGAGAGAGAGAGAGAGAGACAGAAAATGATAATAATAGAGACAACCGGTTATTCTTAGTGCTGGTGGACTTCAGTGGCCCATAGCCAATTGGTCTGGCGGAGGTGATGGTAGGCCTTGGTCTTGAATGTCGGCAATTTCTTGAGAGTTGGGCGTTCGGCGAGGATTGGGGCAGGCAGTGTGTTCCAGCTCTCCAGGACAAAGTATGGGAAGGAGCGGCGGATGAACTCTGGACTGGAGGCTGGCTGAGGAGTTGCGAGTTGGAAAGAGTGGCCACCGAGGGACTGGCGTTGCCGGCGCGTCCGGGGTGCAGCGTTAACTCTTGCTGGGGGAGGTACCATGTTGGTAAGCAGAGCTGGACCTGGTATGCATTGCAGCTTATACAGGTAGCACAGCCCGTAAACATGCCTTCGGATTGCCAGGCTGGGGAGCAATGAGGGGCCAATAACCTTCATGGCTCGACGCTGGACCAGGTCCAGCTGATGGAGGTGACAATGTGCCGCACTTGCCCAGACGAGAGGGGCGTACTCCATTATAGGCCGTACAAATCCTTTGTACACAGTTAGGCGCCCTGCACTGTCCAGGATCCGAGATGCCTTTCGGAGCAGGCCGAGTCGCTGGTTGGCTCTAACGGCAAGGGAACGGATGTGGGCCCGGAAGGAGAGAGTACTGTCAAATAACACTCTTAGCAGCTTGAGCTGAGGGCTCTCAGGCACCTGCATGCCATCAAATGTGAGCTGTGGGACATCCAGGGATGGTCTGTGGCGGTCAAGGAGTATTGCCTGAGATTTTGATGGCTCGAACTTTATCTTCCATTGGGCGCCCCAAGTCTGCAGGCGGTCAATAGATGCTTGGAGGCTATTGCAAGCAGCAGCGATGGTATCTGGGTTTCTGATTAGGGCATAGAGTGTTGTATCGTCCGCATAGACAGCTAGACTGGAGCCTGGGGTTATGAACTCTTGATTGAATTAATAGTTTTAGGTGGGTTCGCTCAAGCTGCAGAACATGCCTACTGCGAACAGCGGGAAAATTCGGTGGAGATTTTGTTCGGTAACTTCGGTACAGGTTAATTTACCTAAAATTAAACGTGATCTACAGTCCATTCATCGGAAAGTGTCCCGCTGGCTTTTGAAAGTCCGATTTGGGCTGAATTGAGGATCAAAAACCCACTATAAATCTCAAAAATCTCGGTTTTGGATCTGCTTCTCCATACATTTTGCCATGGCATACCTGTCCTAATTTTGTAAAACCTGGCGGATTTTCTATTTCCCTGTTCTTGGACTTTTCTGGCTTCAAATGTGGCAAGGTGTAATTGCACGGGTCACACAATGCAGGATGTACTGTTGTTTTCACGATATCTACAACTATGTGCGGGAGACACCAAAAAGTTAGGGTGCCAGTTTCCAATGAATGGACTGTAAACTTCAACCATGCCATGCATGACACACCGCGTGCAAAATGCATTTTTGGTTCTCCAAAACTGGTTTAAAATTATTAATAACGAATGTTTCGTGCTTAAAGAAGTATTTTATAGATCTGAAAACTGGGGTACCGAAATTTCCGCGCTACCGAACCGTTGATTTTGGGAATTCCAGAAAATATCACACCACCGTTAATTCCCCGTTTTACAGTACATGTATATTGAACACGAAATTTACGACCTTAATTAAGGGTTTCGCTGAAGTGGGGGCATACCCCTCTCTACCCGTTACTGCTCATACGTCTTGGGTTACATTTATACACTCCCTGCGGCAAACCAAAAGGAAAAGCTCCCACCAGAATGCAACATGATATACGGAATAAGTGTTAGTTCCGCACACCATAAGTATAATATCCTGCAAAGAATCGGTGCATTACATGTGTATACACTATACTGTACAGGAATATACAACGGTTTTTGCCAGCTAGCTGGCCTCTGCGTACACCGCAGACACACACACACACACAACAGAAAGATACAGATCACAGTAGTAGTGTGGTCTTTGTTCACTCACGGTGGAAGATGGAAGAGCTTAGCGTAGTGTGTACATGAGCAAGAAGAAGGGCATGCCGCCACCTCACGCATATACATGTACACATATGTACCTGACCAACATGATGCAAAAAGTGAACCACTGTGGTGAATGGGGCCGCCGGATGATTAACCAGCCCGAAGCTGGCGGGAAAAACCCCAGGACCCCGGCGGAGGCACAACCCTGAGGAAAAACCGGTTAGAATATCCCCAGCAGATAAATGAAATTAACGTAGCCTGCAGGACCTATCCAAAAGTGAGAATAAAGGGAAGGGCGGGTGGGAAAATACAACGAAAAGAGAAAGACCACGATGAAGAGTAAAGTTTTAGAACACTGACAAAAAATCAGCTGACGCAATCCTGGTGCCGTAACTATGGTAAAAATGCTGGCAAAAAAATAATTTTTTCGTTTCATTCGCTACGCTCAGCCAGCGAAAAATAACACTTTTCATTGTTCAGGATAATAGAAGCCGCCACTGCGAGACGAAGAAATTCGAGGCATGAAAGGCATTTCTGTCTTGCTTCTTTGCCCTCACGAGTTTACAAGGAAGTCTTTCAGCACTGGAGGAGCTATCGCGTCCGCAGGACAGACATAAATCATACTGTAGTGGCTGAACGCTGGCCTCTCTGCACAAAGCTACACGGTCATCAGATGGAACTGGCTTGCCATCATCATTGGTGAGGTGAAAACCGGCAGACTGGCGTACAATGAATGTGGATGCATCACATTGCTTGGCATTACTTGGGCATGATCCGAAATAGCACGATGCGTTGACACTGGGACACAAAAGACTCTTTCGCTGACCTCGAGCTGTGACTAGGCTGACTGTGTCTTCATATCGGAGAAGACCATCATCTGGCATGACATCATTCTCTGGCATAAATTGGAAAACGCCCTCGTCGCAAATCTGTGAGGAGTATGTTTGGCCAGCAACGGGAGGAGTACTGCTCGTCTGTCCTCTCAGACATTGGGGCGTCAGCTCGGTACTGCAGCTAGAGTTTGAGCAGTGGAAATAGCGATGAACGCCCAACCAACGTCCGTGTCCACGCCGCAGTGAGATGGTACGCTTGTACTGCACGGCGTTGGGATGTTCGTGGTTGCGCCACTGACGGATTGTCATGGGAATGAGAACTGGGGCGTCGGGGTCGTTGATGATACAGTTGTCGGGCCCATTGTCACAAATGCGTGGTTCACAGTTGTGGGTCAACGAAATGTCAAAGTTTGGGCAATAGAAGCACCAATAGTGATCGTGTAAGTTGAAGCAAAGGGCAATTTCACTTTCCTCACTGATCAACTCTCGGCTACTGGTGGCCTTCAGGGCATGTACAATCAACGCAGTACCCGGTCCATGTTCCACGGGTTTGCATGCAAACTCACCGTACCTGGAACGACGGCATTGAAGCGGAAAGGGCTGCTGGCCTGCTGGCAATACGGATTGTCTCACCATTAGGTATACCTGATCTCCATTACGCAAGATCTCCTCGGCATTACTGCTTGAACCACTCACCTGTCTGAGGTAGAATTCCGACGCTCTGCAATTTCCATACCTGGATGCAATGGGATGCAGCAATTGTTGACATGGTCGCCGCTGACAGAGGCCACTCCAACTGTTCTCACATCGCAACCAGCGTCTGTTGGGCAGGGCAATGGAGATACGCTGTTCAAACTGGATATACTTCTGAACTGAGCGTGTCTTGTTAACAAACGTACACTCACCCTGGTATAACGCGTTGAGTATGTTGATATCAATCTGGCTCATCGCCTTACGCTGGCCAATCTTGATACCTTGTTGGCGTGGTAACATTGTTATGGCGTGAGTCTGGTTCGTGCCGTATGTGCTTTTCCCGTAATGCATGATACTTCCATAGTCATAGCGCATGTTGTCTGGAATGCTACCAGGTTCGGGCGTAGAATACTTCGAGAAATACTGCATCCCGACTGGCAAGATGTTCTGCCAGAAAATACGCACGTACTGATCGCGGTCGGATCTCTGATGCATGTGATATAGGCCAGCGAGGTGGAGCAGCTGATGAACCATATAACCTACCTCAGTCAAGCACGGTTCTCCAACGTGCATATACATTACACCCTGCTGCTTGCCCACAGGTGTAAAGCAGTCAATGCTGCAAGAACAAAGTATACAGGAAATAAAACATACAGAATATGGCGTTGCCTGAGCATGGCATTCGATAATCCGTTCCTTCGTTAATATTAAGAAATCCCCCCCCCCCCCTCCCCTCATGCGCTTTCAGGGCAAACTCTGTCACAATACCATGCCGTAAAATGGCTCAAAGTTGTCGTGCTCACTCTGCGGACAGAATTGTTTCCCTCTTGTTGGACTCATTGTGGACTCATCAAAGTTATCGTAGATAATGACAGCCGTGTGTGTGCCTCAATCCATCTGTTTCAATCTTTTTAGAGCCTGCCATGTATGATTAGGTAGTACATCGCATATGCAAAATTCTCGTTCATAGTCCATCCGCTAATGCCAGCACTGGAAAGGGCTTTGCTCCAGAACCCAGCCTTTTTTTTCTTTTTTTTGTAATGTATAGCTACCACACAGCTGAGAACGCGAGATCTGTTCTTGCGTCCTGTGGTTCGGTAAGCTGCGCGAGCGCGACCGTCTTAATGCGCGAGCGTAAATCCTCTTCTCTGAGGTCGAGCTGACAAAGCTTGATAATGGTTTCGCGGTATTTGGCTAAATCTGAAAGCCGTCGAGCTCGGGAGGCACTGTCTCGTTGCAGTCCTGCCACTGAGGAAGGAAACTCAAGTTGCTGTGGCAAGATGACGTCTCGGGTCTCTCTCTGTATATGTCGAGAGACGATGGCGAGGGACCGTCGGTCAGCGACTGCCTAAGTGACGTGTTCACCAGATGTGGTGAGGCCCACGCGGGAGGCCACGTTCGTCATGGCGGTTCCGGGATAAACTGCGGATGTGCCGAGTCGTCCTTCATCCTCCATGAAGTCTGCTTCGCGTTGGTTAAGCTCGGAACGTGAACCGGAGCGGCCTCCAATTGAAGAAAGCAGAGGGCTGCTGTGCAGGTAACTAGTGTTACTTTAGTAATTATTTTGATTCGCAAATTCAAACGGGCATAGAACCCAATAACATGAAAGCGAATATGAAAATTATAATGAGAATGAGAATTAAAATACTTAGATCTGTGTCACCCACGGTCAACTGGGTACTCACAGCTCGGAGTGAGAATAACAAGGATGCAGTTTACAGGGTTATGGGCCGTTAAACGCCCGATTGGTGGAGAGACTAACCTCCTCTCCCCTGACTCTCTTGTGAGGTTTTCATTCGCCACTAAGATGAACAGGCATAGTGGTGACCTGCGGATGCGAAGGCTAGTTTGTGTGTTTCTGAACATTCAAGCGATGCCGACGCGGATCCCGCGAATATTATTATTATTATTATTAGATCTGCGTGCGAAACTCCCTTTTCCTAGAGAAAACCTACGGCAGTAGTTATAATCGTGAATAGGAGCAAGTACCCATTTGAAAGGACCGGTACACTCAGGCATGCGCCTTTTCATAAACTAATTCGAGGTAGTAAAAAGACTAGTAACTTGAAGTAGCAGCAAACAAGCCTTGATCGTCGTTGTTGTTTTGTATTAGGATCTGCCTCCGCGGTGTTGAGCCCTGTCAGCACACGGAGTACATCCTCCGGTAAAAGATTAGCTATAACATGGCAACCATCAGTGTTTTCCGAGCATCATCTAATGTGGCGTGGTGCCCATGACACTTACCTGTTTGGCTGCAGCTGTATAATCGCGTAGGTATTACCTTGAGCAGCAGCATTGACATGACGATAAAATCGAACACAAGAACGCTCCTCAATATGTCTGATGGCAGCCCGAAATGTGTTGTAGAAGCGCTTGACAATGCTCAACTCTATAGTGAAAACAAATGGCAAACGTACACATGTATTTCCATTACGACGCGCTCCTGCCAGCTTGTGGACACATCCAAACAAGCTTCACACCCAAGGCCGCATTGGCTTAAGGGGGCAGCCTACCCATCAATTTCATATGGCATTCAATTGACCGTAACTTTGGTGTTTCTCAATGGATTTGAGTGAAATTTCACACCCAAAGCCGCAGTGGCTTAAGGGCAGCCTACCCATAAATTTCATATGGCATTCAATTGACTGTAAGTTTGGTGTTTCTCAATGGATTTGAGTGAAATTTTGACCACACACTCCTACCACTATGCTGGCCCTCAGGACATGATTTACAAGTTCTTGCGCCTCACTGACAGGCTTTCCAGGCCGGAAAAACTCAAATTTCCGGCATAGTGCCACGGTGTGCGAGCCACCCAGGAGCCAAACAAATGCATTTACAATTTTTTCACATTTTCGTGCCCATTCTGTCCGTGCGCGGGACCCAAACCTAAAACAAGTCCAGAAGCAACCATGGGTGGTGGGGTAGGGCCCCTCAACGTGGCCCTGCAATCTGTCACAACGGAACGAGTGGGCGTTCTCTCACTGACTCCCACAGACCCAAGTCAATTTTTGAATTTTTTTAGGTTTAGCACGTGCTACGAGGTCGTACCTTTGATATTACATCCAGTGCTAGGACCTCCACAGCAAGCCATTTCCACAGCGCTGCACACCAAATCCAGGATACCCTCAGAAACCGGCAAAGACTACCACTCACGTTCTACTGGCACTGCTGCCTAGTACTGACTGAATCCTACCTGACTTCTTGACACGACTCAAACTTGCCAAAGTCACTAAATCAACGTCAACTTACTACAATAATCAAGCCACGTATCTGCAACGTCACGAGGGTGCTGGCAAAAGTCCTGCTGCACGGCAGCGGGCTTCCCCGCCGCCGTGCAGCCCAATACGTGGGTTTTTAACGCGATTTTTTGGACTTTTTTGGTCTTGGAGCAAAATTCTGCACACTTTGGTACACTTTCCAACGGCCAAAGAGAGTTGGAAAGCTTGTGTCTTTGTGGGTAACTAATTACTTGAACATTTGGGCTCATGCAAAATCGCACCGATTTTGGGATTTCCCCACAACTTTTTGCGTTAGCAAAAATGTTGTGCTGGACCGCATTCCTGTCACTTCGCAGTGGCTTTTCGTTGGTGCAGTTTGTATCCCACCCTCCCACCCTTGACTTCTGGGTGTGCGTTTATCGATATATCATAATTATTGGTTTTTCTTATTGGCCATGTGGCTGTTGCAGTTACGACTGCTTTTCTTTTTTAGTTAAAAAACGTAGGGGTGGTGTGTGCGTCGTGGGCCATTGTATGGTTACATACAGCTTCAGATCGTATGGCTAGTGACAGGGGGGTTGAGTCTGCAGGGGAAGAATACAGTGATTGAACTGAAGCTGGATGATGACCGTGTGGTGAGTGTGTGGGGGTTTCGAGATGCCGTCCTGGGGCAGGGATGTCGGTCCTTTAGCTTGGACGGGTGTTGTTACATTCATTGTAACATTTTGTCGTTTTCTGTGTGTTTTGCTGTGCGACTACACTACAGTAGCAGCAGTGCCTTGTGCTAATTTTTCTTATCAGGCCCTATGCGTACAATTATTCAAGAAAGAAAAAAAAGGAAAAAAATATATATCAGGAAGGAGATGTAATAATATCAATAATAAAGCCATTGCCGAGCCACCGCGCTCACAGCCATTGCCGAGCCACCGTGCTCACAGCAGAGACTTCTGTGTGTGTTATTGTTGTGAAGTGGACCACAAAGACCGCGTATTTCCATGATACGACAAGTTGTGCACGGCCTGCTCACATTCAAATACAATGCTGCCAACAAATGACAGCGTGCAACAAAAATCTTTCCTTGCAAGGGCACATTTTCGGCCATAACCCTTGAACGACTGGTCAGATCGGGACACAATTTTCAGAGAATTTGCAGCTATTCATGCTCTTTCAACTGACGTAGCACTCAATATGAATTTACAAATTCGATTTTTCAGCGAATTTTTGGGTAGTCTGCCACCTTAAAAAGACAATGTTCCACTGCACATGCATGGCTTTCATGCTATTGGGCGGGATATGAACATAATTATTATTATGATGTATGCTCCGGATCCCGCCTGTCTACTAGCATTCCACTCAGCCATCAAAATGCCGCAACACACTCACAAACAATTGCTAAAGGAAAGTCCGTTCCCTTGTGGCTAGCATACATGTATTCCAATTCTATCTTTCTCCACTTACTTATATGGCTGTAGTCCTCCAACTTGAAGAGAACTTTGCCGTCTGGCCATGTAGCATCGGTCGCAGCAGGCACATTGCTGATGGATCGCGCTGTACGATGGTGCTCAACCTTGTCAGAATCTGGAATGCTTTCCCCGTCCAAGCTAGGATCATCACCAAATATGCCGCCACTACCAGCATTCTCTGCAGAAACGTTCTCCACTGACTCTCCAGTCCTGTCACTGTAAGCCATTGTGTGGCCTGAGGAAGTAGACAACGTGTCATTCCCAACCAGAGATGTCTCGATTCTCCTCTGGTTGTGTAGAGGATGCGCAGTGCAACCGATCAGTAGCATGGCACACAAAATTATAGCCGCATCAGAATAGCGCATGATTGATGCCATGACTGCAGCTATCCAACAACCAAGCCGAACAAATCGCTTGCAGCACCAGCAGGACTAAGACTGTGTTCGCCCGATGCCTTGTGCTGAACACTGATTGCAGCTTTGCTTAGGTTTGAAGCTGAAGATGTTCACCGACCAATCCCCGGTAGCTGCCATATTTAGGATCACCAGAACACAATTTAGAACACCGCACAGAATGAACATTATGGATCATACGTTTTGCTTGCACAATGCCAGCAAGTTGAGGTAAATGATTATCTATATTCATGCAGCAAAACTAACACACTGGTTATCAATATATTCAAGTATGGTTTTCAAAGCAGCATACCCGGGTTATAAAGACCAGCAAACCAATGTTTTTTCAGCACACTTACCTGAGAAGCTCACAACAAAGAAAACTCTCTGTAAAATTATCTCTTCTCCTTCGGTCAACCGGTCGCTGCGATGGTGTAGAGTAGAATGAGTTGAATCTCCTTGAGCAGCTGATTTTAGATGAGGCAGATGACTGGCGCTACCCTCGCGATCGGCGTATGTCCACGTAGTCAAAGGCATGACTCAAGTCCTATCCACGTGTATCTCGCCGTGGGCTCTCACACTCTCTTAGTCTTACCTCTCGAGAGCCTGGCTATGATGTCTCACCTTCTTGCTCCTCAACTGTTGCATACGTAATCAAGGGGTTCACGGTTTGTTTTTCTACTTACGTGCCGAAAGCATTGTATTTGCATAGTACGTATTTTGGGTTTGGGGAACACAGCCCCATGTTGCGTGATCGATCGTGTTGTGTGCGTGTGAACAACGTCTTTGTCCAGTCCATGTAAGCCTTCATTTTCAGTAGGCACTTGTTTGTGCCACTTGTTTCGAAGCAGTCCTGCTGCGTTTTTGAGATTTTAGAACTTTTATAACTATTGTGAATAGTCTACATCCGACTTCAGCAGATCAAGGTTGCGATCGTGATTGCCAGTAGCATCGTGATCGCGAGTTTGCAGAGTACACGGATCGTTGTAGGCCTTCCAAACCCTGACCTGGGTCTAAACGCACGCAGTTTCGGGTACTACGAGCTCTTGTAGACTCCTGGCCCTGAGGATCACCATAGCCTAATTTTGGCCGGCAGCCGCTACACATGTACTCCCAATTCGCTGTTCGTTACAGTTATGTAATACATCTGATTCCGTAGGCGCCTGCCCGCTAAGTACACGCTAATGACCCCCGCTAAAGACGCCAAGTCAGCTTCGTGTGGCACTAAGTGCAGCACTTAGGTACTGGAGTATCAATACAGTACTACGTACATGTACGTGTACATGATGATTGCACAAATTATACTCAACTCTCAAGAGGGCCAGGGAGCCCTGCAGAACACTGAACAGTCAATATGAGTCATGATAGTGTGCAATTGAACTGTCTGTTTCGTCCTTTCTCATTGATTGTTATTGGCCATGGTATCATAATTATGATAATTATTATGGTAGTCTACGCACCGTATCATGCGTAGCACTACATGCACCTTTCTTTCTTTCTTTTCGAGGACTATCATTAGACTCTGATCTGATTTTTTACCAGGCGTGGGCCATCCCCTGATTTCATAGGTGCCAAACATTTTTCGTTTTTCATTCACTATCATGCATTTTGTCTACAGTCGTTTTAAAAAATTCGTAAAAAAATCCAGAGCAGTCGTGATTTCGACAAAAGCGAACCTACCTTAAACTCCGAAGTATACGGTTACTTAGTTTAGCTTTTGCATTTCGCGATATGCCCGCATCAATAAGATGGCGTCTTTGTGGACTACAGTAGTCAGCAGGTTCTGCAGATCTGGTGCAATCACAGTCACAACTGTTGGCGCGTAACCAGTGTCGTTGCTCCCCGACCCGTAGTACTGTTTGCTAGTAGCGTAGTGACTAGTACACGTTGTTGCGAGCAACGAACTGTCTTAGTCTTACGCCATGAAAACCGTCAACGTCACTGCACATGCCATGCGGTGCGAGAAAAAAAGAAGAAAAACGACTGAGTTCAGTGCATTTCGGTAGCACAGGTACATGTTCTCGAACGTGAATTATCCTTCACAACTACAGTGCCGGCAACTGAAATCCGACCCCTATAGCGGTGCGCCCACATTCTAGCGGTCCCTGTTTCGTAGTTTTACCATCCCGTGTTGGGTCCTTGCGATGCGAGCGCACCGCTCAGGGGTCGGATTTCAGGTGCCAGCACTGTGTACACTGTATTACAATGTAGTTAGAGCAGCTCAAAAATTACGATCGCGAATCCCACGCTCAAGCGTGTGCCATAGCCCACCCGGGACCCACTCACCATCGCCGCAGCGTTTGTTTTTATACTTGGGAACCACAGTCTCAAGGGAGAGAAGACAAAGGAAGAAAATTATATGAGCAAACCATACAGAAGGAAGGAAAGCAGCGGTTTGGCGGAGGAAAAAAGACATTAGTGATGGTTGATGCGAAAGCCACATCATGAAAATGTACACGCTCGTGCAACCCGCAGCCACGTACTGATGTCGCCTGGTGACGTCTTTACAAATACTCGTTTAACCGTAAAGAGCTTATCACAATAAAATTCTTAGCATTGAGTATATACTTCCTATGAGAGTAGCACCACGAATTAGATCTTTACAAATAATTATGTGCCTCCGTTTAAAGACCTTATCACAATACATTTCGGTCTTAGCATTGAGTATGTACTTTCAATGGAAGTAGCACCACGCATTAGATTACTGTGTACGTAGTAGGCTGCGATGACGGCGTGGTGACTACAAACAAGAAGATGAGGTGTGCATCCCTAGGCCCTGTGGTCGATCCCTAACATCGATCTTCGTGCTACATGTACAGTGTATACGTAAATAACGTTATCTGGCAACGTGCTCCACTTTGATTCCGTGAGAGTGCGGAGATTTTGCCGAGCAAGGAACTAAAGGTGCATCTAGACTACCGTATTCAGAAATTATTCAATTGCTTCTAAACAACTGAAACGCATGATCGCCAGCAAATACATGCCAGGTAACAGTTACACGTCATCGCCAGCCACGGCTAAAGACTTGTTTTTTGTTTTTTGTTTTTTAGGAATGAACTGTGGGAAACACCCTAGTAAAATAAAAGTTAATAATAATAGTAACTCCTTGAGCCTCTTGTACGGCGAAAGACTAGTGGACTCCACTAAGCACAAAGCGTGTCCTACCTTGGTTTACATGTAGGGTATCTGACAAGGGGTAGGCTAGAGGACATTATCTATAATACTACAAAGCGCTCCGGGAGAAAATCATTGTACTCTCGTCCACAGCAGCGACTGGTTGACCGAAGGAGAGGAGATACACGGGTGATTTCTTTTGACCTCCCCCCCCCCCCCTCCTCCTGTTTGGAGGCACACTGGTACCCTGGACAGCCAACATCACCGTCCTTGGTGTGAAGGTGGACGCCAAGTTGACCGTTAGTCATTACCTACGCTCCGTAGCCACCTGTGCACGCCAACGACTAGGGTACCAGCTGTTTCGCTAATAGATAGGTAGATGTTGCATGACTAATATAATTATATAAGACCAAAATACATAGCAGACTCAGCGGAGGACGTTCAGGTTGGTTGTAACTCTGAGTTTCATGCCGCTAGGCAATCATCAGACCAAAATAATAATAATTATAGGGTTTTAACATACAAAACTGGCATAGCTGAGGTGATAACGTGGGAAAGGGAAAGTGTGAAGTACTGGACTGTTGACGACCATGGGCCATGCATGCACCGTCAGGAATTCGGCGCGGAAAATCGATCACTATGATAATGACTATGTTGCCTGATGATCGTAGTAATACGTGAAACTCAGAGTTGTAACAAAGCTTCCAAACTCTCTCTTGTGTATTGACTATCAATGCAGAAATGATGTGTGTGGCTGTCGAAGTCGACGTCCGCGGGTCGTGAGGTGAATGTAGGCCTTCATGCCCCCCCCCCCCCCCCCCCCCCGCCCCGGACAAGTGCAATACACAGACTCTCACTTGCTACACAATACACTGATTCTGGCAAACTGTTTTAAACATGAGATGCAGCTATACTAGGGGAAGCATGCACAACGTGAATCGTGCCAGTGATGGTGACGTCCGTGGAGCGCCGTCGACCTGGGGTCTCGACTTCTTGGCAACCTACACTGTGTGTGGGTGCGTGCGTGTGTGCGTGTGTGTGGGGGTGTGTGTGTGTGTGTGTGCGTGCGTGCATGTGTGGGTGTGGTGTGTTTGTGTTGATGCGCGGGAGTCTGTGGTGGTTATGATAGAGAATGGAGAAGCATGGAGTGTGCTTGAGCCGTTGAGGTGCGAGAGACCAGGATGACCAGTTGTTCGTGGATGAACAGACCTGTGTGTAGGCATGAAATGGTGTGTTGGAGTGCTGTTGCTGTTGCTGTTGAGCGGCTTAGCCGCCGTCTTTCCGTCTGACATGTGAATATACGTGCCCATGTGGATATGTGACCAGTTTCTGCCAGTTCCTGAGAACTTCTGGAGCCTGGGCAATTTTGCTTTTGTGATGTTTTCTGTTCGTCTTTCTGCCACTTACTTCCATTCCTCCTTTTTTTCTTTTTTTCTTTTACAAAGACCACTTAAATGCCAAACATGAGATGCAGCTAGGCTGCTATGGGAAACACGCACAACCTGAATCGTGGCAGTGGTGGTGAGATTTAGGGAGTTTGCTTCTTTCCTTCCATATTTGCCTTTATGCTATTGGGCCTAGTTCCCATTTAACCCTTTGGAGTCCGTAACTTTTTGGTTCCGCAGAATTTGTGGCAGTCACGAAAATGCGCACTCCATTTCCAACATAACTTTGGTTCTACTTCACCGATTTTGAAGATCTTGGGCTCGTTGAAAAGCTCTTGATGAGAGAAATACAATGAGCCTAAACTCGCCAAGAGCACTGTTCATTGTCCGCCACAACTTGCCCCAAACGCGAGTCCAGCTCCAGATCTGAGACGAAATCGGTCTCCTGTAGCCATTTCACTGAATCTAGCTCGGAACTGTCCAAATTTTTTCGAGTAGAAGCTTACCTTGCCGTGACTTTGCGCCGCGCCGGTCCTGGCATGTGCCGCCTGTCATGAAGCTGGGAAAATCCCTTTTTTTCACGCACTGGTGACTCGCAGAACGCAGCGCAGAAAATTGGAAATGTTTGATCGCTCGCCGCTCACTCAAACTTCATCACAGAGACTTCGGACCAGTTCGAGGCAACAGCTGAGGGTTTTCTCTACCATTTAGACCCTTCGATTGTTGAATTTGGTCAAGATTTGGCCGAGAACCGAAAGTTTGACTGCGCCCACATGCATACAAAATGCCCATGGTTCGAAATCGAACCATGGACTCCAAAGGGTTAATGTGCGAAGTAAAATAAACACAACCATACAAACAAAAGTCTCCAAATAAGGTATATTATATCAGACCCTATTGTGATGCTCATCGGCTTTGTACATCATTTACTTGTGCCGAAAGAGTAACCAAGCATGCCCGAAAAGTCCCCGAATTGGTTACAAATCCCACGTCGGTAGGCATTTCCCAAATCGGCCAGCCGAAAAATTCGCCGAAAACAGTGGTTTTGAAGAAATCATGTACATGTATCTTTTGGCCGAATATGTAATTTTCGCACTGAATTCGCCAAAAATCGATGTATTGGTGCCTCAACAGCATGCAACTACAATTAATTTTCTGTCACCATTGTACTTCGAAGTACTGTGAAAGGTGAACGCACTGAATTCGCCGGAAATCGATGTTTCAGTGTCTCTATAGCGTGCATGCAAATGTACATAATTATTACTGCGAGCGGTGACTTCAAGTACTGCTTTGAGCCGAAATCTGACTCTGGAGCTCAAAAGATGGCCTAATTTGGACATTTTCTCAGCCGATCGAAAAGCTGATTAAGGTAGCAGCCAGATCCAAGTCAATTTTTGATCTTTTTAGGTTTAGGGCGTGCTACTGAGGTCGTACCTTTGATACAACATCCAGTGCTGGGACGTCCACAGCAAGCGGGGAATCCATAAATAAAAATAATAATAAAAATAATAATAAAAAGCCCTTTCCACAGCGCTGCAAACCGAATCCAGGATGCCCTCAAAAATCGGCAAAGACTACCACTCACGTTCCACTATTGCCTAGTACTGAATCCTACCTGACTTCTTGACACGACTCAAACTTGCCAAAGTCACTAAATCAACGTTAACTACAATAATCAAGCCACATATCTGCAACGTGACAAGGGTGCTAGCAAAAGTCCTGCTGCACGGCGGCGGGCGAAGCAGGCCAGCCTACCCCCTTAATAGGCGAAACTTCGGGCAACACATGGCATGTTCTGGGGTGAATTCCTTGCCACCGACACACGTTGATGGTACATCTTTCAGAGGTCATCCATACCTCAATGCAATGGCATCCCGGAAGTTACAGTCAACTTCGCTTATAACGACACTCGGCGGGGCATCAGAAAAGTGTCGTTATTCACAAAGTCTCGTTATACCCGAAGTTCATTATGTATTACAGTTGGATGGGATTTTGCTCTGGGCATGGAAATTATGTCGTTATTCGTGAATTGTCGTTATATCCGCAGTCGTTATTAGCGAAGTCGACTGTACATCTCGACAGATCGCGAATATGTTTTTGTGTTACAGTTGTGCAAGCGTATAACATGACATAATATTGAGAGGGGACCGAAATCTGCTTCCCGCAGCAGATCGACGGCAATCTGCCCCATCGTAGATCTACGGATTCCGCGTCCGGCATCGTCGCACAGGGGATCGCAATTTGCGCCATCGTACCACCACGGCCTGGAAAGAGGTCGTCGCCGTTGGAGGGCTAGGGGGGATTCGCATAATTGTACGTGCATGTACAAGGTCTAGACGTCGGCGACGCTCTGATACGTTCTTGTGCAGAAAGAGGAGCCGAGCAGGCCCGGAAAGTCCCCGATTGGGGCATGGGGTGCGAATGAGACCCGTTTGGGCCCTCTCCTGCTTTCTATAACATGTTTGCCGAAAGTCGCCAAGCATGCGCGGAAAGTCCCCGGTCAGAGTACAAATAAGATCCGATTCGGATCGAATTAGCCCTCGTCTACTTTGTACATGTACATTACTTGTGCTGAAAGAGTAGCCAAGCCGGGGAAGTTACAACTGAGATCCGATTGGGACCAAATTGCCTTTGTCCCACTTTGTACATAAATCTTGCCGAAAGAGTAGCCAAGGATGCCCGGAAGTCCCCAAATTGGTTACAAATCTGACTCGGGACCGCTGTTCTTTTTTTCTTTTTTTTCAATTTCGATCTGTCAGCTTCTATCATTTCGTCTGGGGGTTAGACAAGGGGAAGTAACAATGTAGCACCAGGAGTTGCAGTGCGCTCGACTCGACTCTACCGAGTCAAGAGAACCCACACCTAGTACCTTGATCTGGGACCGCGTACGGGTAAGCTGCGTAGTGGGCTGATTTGTACATTATTTGTACAGTCGTGGGCTGCTTTGTACATTACTTGTGCCAAAAGAGTAGCCGAGCATGCCCGGAAAGTTACAACTGAGATCCGATTGGGATCAAATTGGCTTTGTTCCGCTTTGTACACATTACTCGTGCCGAAATAGTAGCCGAGCATGCCAGGAAAGTTACAAATGGGATCCGATTGGGATCAAATTGGCTTTGTTCCGCTTTGTACAAATCTAGAAATAGTAGCCGAACATTCTCAGAACGTAAACATTTGGCTCCCAATCGAGGTCCAATTGGGCGCCCTGGTCTTCTTTATGCAGTGTGTATGCTGAAAATGTTCCGTAATGCGCTCTTCTAGGACGTGTGGCGCTATGTGAGTAAATGGGAGAAAGCGTTTATAAGTCCAGGCAGTATTTGCAAACAGCTTATTTTGGTATTATTGCCGTCTGGCGAAATTAAGTTCCTGATTGTCTCTACGACGACCTCAAACGACGTTTACTCTGCACAGTATTTCCTGGAGAGATCTGTTCTGAATCCATTCAGCTTGCTGTCACATAGTTTGAGATCATGGCGCTAAGTGGGAGTTGTCGAAGTGCGGTCCTTTTCTGTGCCGCTCTGCTGGCTGGTTGCGCTGTACAGTCTGCAATGGCAAGTGTTTCATCATCCCAGCAGGATTCTGGAAAGGTGTCGACCTCCGAGGGCAGCCCAACGACCGCCAAATTGGCGCCTGCTCAGACCAATGCTGTATGGCCTGATGGCAAGATCATGGTGAAGTTTGCAGAAAACGAGAACATGAGTAAGTGTCAATTTTAACACAAACTTAAAAAGAGTTTCGTTCCTTTATAGAGTGGCTTCACATCTAGGTCACGTGACAAAAGTTGTGCAGAAAGTGATCGTGGCATGTAGACAGTGGAAACAAAATGGCCACCGACATCATGTGATCCATATCAAAATTAACGATGACTTGGAACCAACATGGCTGTCCCATATTGTCATAATTATGTGATTGTTTTGTTTGTATTCTTTATTTGGAGTGGGAAGTCCAAAACAGGCCCTAGCATATTAACAATGGTCCCACTAGTGAGGGAATGCTGTATATCTGTGCATAAGGATCAGTGAGTGTAACAGCAACTAGTAGGGACAGAAAAGACAGAAGAAAAACAACTCAAAACAAGAGTTGCGACTTGCATAGGCAGAAAATAAGGGAAAGAGCAGTGATAGATGTGACACCAGTCTATAGCAACTCACACAGTACTCTCCAAACCACGGTTGAGTCATTTGCGTTCCTTTAACTGATTTCAGTTGTAAGAGTCGGCGGGTGCTATAAAACAATCATAGGGAAATGTCATGTATGAATGCGGTCACCAACAGCCACAGGGCAACATCTCACCTACGATCAAAATATTTTCTTGGGGCACATTTCAGAAATTCTTCACCACAATGAAGTGCACGTGAAGTACGATCAAAGTATTATAATCGCGCAGAAGACAGTCGTTCATTGCGATCAGTTCGAGCAGTACATGTAACTCAGAGCTCCCCCTGAGGGGACCTGATAAGGTCGAAACAGCATGCTGTCCGGAGATTGAGCAATCGCACAGAAGAAATATTTACACTTCTCAAGACATCTACTTGGAAGTAGACTTCTGAGTAGACGGACCCTGTCCTGATGATTGGAGTTGCCGGAAAATTCGGCTACTGTAAAACAGGAAATTCTAACGAGTCACAAAGTCTAACGTTTTAACGACCAATGGTTTTTCATTATTTGAATAAATGTTATCACGAACCCGGTTCGAGATGTCTTAAAAGATGCGCATACATCGCTGCATGTTCTGGGTGGCCAGGTAGCCATCGTTAAACTTTCTGCACGTTATCATGCCAACATGGCAAAAACGTTAAACTTTTTGGTCGTTAAACTTTCCGGTTTTACAGTATTTGAATTTATTAGAAAACTTCATGAGGAGACAATAACTTAAGAACAGGTACATTGTATCTATGAGGCCTGAACACAGTCATCATTTTCATGTTGTTTTGGTTGTTTTTTAAAGTTCACAACCTACTTGTCAGAAGGGGAGAAAACCACAGAATATACAATAATAAAAAAACAGCATGGATAGTAGAGGCTGCAAAGCAAGCCTGTGCCGGTGAGGCAAGCCCCCAACACGGACATAATTATGGTCTCGGTGTTAACACGGGCTTGCGCGCCATACTAGTAGCCTAAAACGTAGTACAGTCAACTTGGCTAATAACGACTGCGGATATAACAACAATTCGCGAATAACGACAGAATTTCCATGCCCAGAGCAAAGTCCCATCCAACTGTAATACATATAATGGGACTTCGGGTATAACGACACTTCGCGAATAAGGACACTTTTCTGATGCCCCGCCGAGTGTCGTTATAAGCGAAGTTGACTGTACAGTGCTGGCGACTGAAATCCGACCCCCTGAGCGGTGGGTTCACATTCTTTGCGATGTGAGGGGGGTCGGATTACAGTTCCCAGCACTGTGGTATATACATGATGTCAGCACTGGAGCGGTTTGTTGGAGCCAATGACATTTTCTCATTTTGTCTTTTTGACCTTCTATAGTACATGGGTCTCAATCGCGTCGAAATTTCAATCTGTTAATATTGCCATGTTCTTAGCTATTGCCGTTAACTTTGAACCTGCCCTTTTCTCTTTGTTTAACACCTTGATCGTCTTACTCTACCATTCAGTGACTGTACTCTAGCTGACGATCGTCGCAATAAACGTTCTTAGGGTTACAAGAACCAGGTTCGCCCCTTGTAAATTGTTCTGACGATGGATGTCTGGCCCGAAATATCAATGATTTTTCGAGATCGCTAAAAGAAGAATTTTTCATCCAGCGCATGCGCCAAGGAGTGAATATCAACTGATTAGAGCGGTTGTCAGTTGACAAACCCATTTTGTATTTACAGTTACAAGCTGTTCCAATGGAGGCAGGTGTAGACCATTACGTGTTGCTGATGACTGCACACATTGCATTACTCACAGCAATTCCATCCATTTTTTACCGCATCTCCAGAGTATAAAGCGCACTGGTGTATAAATCGCAGACAGATTTTGCTGTGAAATTCGGACATTAACTCTATCTAATCACCGTTAATTTTTTTAATTATTTGATCATCGTAGTATAAGCCGAACCGACTTATTTGGGTGACTTCCTAGTGTTTAAAAGGCGGCTTCTACTCTAGACAATACGGTAACTGATTGTTAAAGCCTTGATAAAATCAAATATTGTCTCGGTGATGGACGGACAACCTGGGCAAAAATCCCGCTCCTGATCGGTTTGTTATTTTGTTACTGATAAAATACTCCCTTGCCTTCCCATTGGAGGTGCAAAGAAGCTATAAATTCTTCCGGTAAGCAAAACTTGGTAGCATTTTTACAGTTTACGCAAAAGCACTCGATGGCTACAAACACACTTTGCAAAGTGGAAAATATAGCAGAGCTTTGCAAGAGGGCAGATAACTATTACTAACGTTG